ACGTTGCTGGAGCTCGCATCGGCCTTCATCTCGCGGCAGGGAGGACTGCGGGAAGATCGGGAAGCTGGCGCGAGGCTCGCAGGGATGTCAACGAAGCCTTTGTCGGCTGGAGGGCACCAGGAGCCGTGAGAGCGTGTCGGCAAGAAACTCGTGCAGAGCTTCGGCCCATCCCCAGCGACATAGCAGTCGCTTGCGAACGGGAGCTCCAGCAGGGAGGCGGCGAATGTGCGCCGCGCCGCGACCGCAAGCAAGCTGGACCATCGCACTCCCCATTCGCCGCGCGGCATTTGGAGGGCAGTCGGAACTAGCGTGCAGCCGCAGCCTCAAAGCGTCCGCCGGCTTTTGCCTAGCGTCAACCTACGTTTGGTAGCGTCTGCGTCGGGCAGCGCTGTCGACAGCCCGGCCGGGAGACATCTTGGTTTGTTTTTTAGTTTTTTTTTTTTTTTGTTTTGCGCGCCTTTTTACGACAGCGAAGAAAGTTCCGAGTCAGCCTACTGTGTGCGGGGCCGTCTGCACCCCGCGTTGCGCGCTCAGAGTCGACTGGGCGCCGGGGGCTGGTGACCCGCCAGGAGCTCCCCGAGTGGGGGTTCCAGGCCGTCCGTTGGGTCACCAGGCCCTGCGATGGGTAGCTCGAGCAATGAGCACGCATGCGCGCGCAGGGCGGCGAACGATGCTTGTTCGGGGGTTGACTGTTTTAGCTGTGGGTGGATGGGCTGTCAACCGTCGCCCAGAGACAGTGGAAGTTTATCAGGCAGCGGGTCAAAGTTTGAGCTCGCAAGCACCGCGAAGCAGATATATGCTTGCGGATGTGCGTTACCCGCATCAGCCATGTCCTGAAGCTTTACCTGGCTCCACTTCATAGGCCTTTGCGTAGCCCTAGGTTTCCATCTTCAGTAATGCCCACCAACAGCCGCATAAAAAGAAGAAGGAAACAAAATCAGCAGCAAACCAATGCATTGCAAGGCCGAGGTGCTTGATGGCCACGTCGTCGCACCCTTCCTGCCCTCAACGTGACCACAACCGCCCAACACAGCCTTCACTGGATACCTCCGAGGATGGAGGCCATGCATGCCATGCCCACTGCAGCCCTCCCCCCTCCAACAGCCACAGCTCGGGATAGGTGTCGTGACGTTTGCGCTTTCTTGCGAGTTGAAGAGCGAGGCGAGGCTGAAAGTCAGCCCCCGGCGACGGCTCGGAGACTTGTGTCAGCAAGGCACCGGTTGCGGGCGATCTGTGCCCCGGCAGTATGGTAGACCATGGCTTGAACCGGAGGGCACGGGAAACCAAAGCACCAGAATTGGCACATGCTGCTTGATGGTCACCAAGCGGGTCGAACAGCCCATGGCATGCACGGACTCGCGAACAGCAGGAACACTCGGAACTTTGCGGAGGGATGCGGAGGGGATGGCGGCTGCTTCGTGGCCAGCTGAGCGAGCGTCTTAAAGCCAGCAGTTTCTGCCATCGCATCATCCCGTGCTAGGCATGGTAGGATGCGAGACTTGGTGGCCGTTGGGGCCCCGAGCCCGCCACGTCCGTGCGGCTGTTTGCACGAGCACAAGCCCTCGCTAGACCAGCAGAAAACGAAAGGCTGTTCCCATCTGCCAGCCGAGACAGACAACACGCTCACCGAAGAAGGAGGGTTAAAAAACTTTTCAGCAGCAGCCACCATCGGTTTTCCTGGATTCGACAGCCGCGTGGAGCGCAGCGCGCGGCGTCCAATTGCAGGTCTCGCATGTCGCCGGCCCGCATGACTCGCGGCCATCACTCACAAGCATCAGGAGAAGGTCATGGAAGGTGCGCATACCGTGGAGGAGTGCGTTTCCCAGGCCGGGCAGGCGCAATATTCGCATCGGTGACATGAACATTTATATGCTTGTTCGCGACGCTTTGTGGTTAGCACGGGGCTGCACGGTTGCGTCAGCCCCGGCACTGGCTCGGGCGAGCCGTAGCAGGGGGCTGACTTTCGGCTTGGCTTCGCCTTTCAACTCGCACTCGCAGCGCTTTCACCGTGTGGTTTTCGGTGCCGAGACGCAGGAGCACCGAACCCGCCTCCTCAGCGCGGCTACGTGCGGCTCCTTGCCCGAGCGCTGAAACCGCTAGCTCTTGCTGTGTCAGTTAGAAAACGACGCGCTTGTTCCCACAGCTGCATCTGCCTGCCAGACGAGACAGACAACACACCCACCGAAGGAGGGTTAAACAAGCTCTTCACCAGCAGTTGGCCACTATCGGTTTTCCTGGATTTGACAGTTTTGTGGAGCGCAGCGCGCGGCGTGCCAGTGCAGCTCTCGTATGTTCCAGGCCCGTATAACTAATGAGCTTTTAGCTACAGGCCTTTTCGAAGCCTTCGCTCACAGACTTCACAAAAAGGTCATGGAGGATGCGCATACCATGCATACCTCGCAGCCGCCTCGAATTTAGGCGGTCAGAACCGCCCAAACTTGTTTCCATTCCTGGCAAAGGGGGGCGACTTCAGCTTGGCGATGCCACACACAAGCCGCCTTTGCAGGATTCTTCACGGAAGTCTACAAAGCTTGCGGGAGTGTGTTTCTCAGGGCCACGCCGAGGCGCAATGTTCGCATCGCTGACATGAACATTGACGTGCTTGTCCGCAGCGCGATGTAGATCGTGTTGCCATTCCCATTTTGGCACGGCCGCGCGGGGCCCAGCTTGCAGTCGATACCACCTGCGCCAGCCCCGCCACTCGCGCGGGCGAGCCGTGGCAGGAGGCTAACTTTCGGCCTGGCGTCGACCTGTATACCCCGAGCTGTCGCGCTCGCCGCGCTGCCACCTTGTGGTTTTCGCTGTCCGGCCCTGAACAGAGACAGCCTTCTTACCGACACCAGCTCTTGCAGGTGGGCGGCATCATGATCCGCTGGAAGGATGTGTTTGCCCAGGAGCAGCGTGGTGAGCAGCCAAAGCGCACAAACCTTGCCCCACCCTGTGGGGCACTCTGTGAGGGAGGTATCAGAGGTGATCGGTACGAAGAGGACCGGGTGCTTCTCTCCGTGCCTCCCAATCCAACGACTCTGATTGAGAATGTGCTCCAAGTTGCGAAGCCCTTGTCTGCGCACACGCTGTTGACCCCGCCCCTGCTCCCGATAACAGCCACCCAGGCCTCGCCTGCCAAGACAGAGCGCGCCAAGACGATGATCGCACTGTCCTGATGTCGCGCGACAAAGGCATGCCCACGCACAAATGCGCCCGGAATGTCCACTTGTTGACAAAATGCATGAAGAACGGGCTTCCCGTTCACCAGGCACTGCCATCTCGCAGTATTCAGGCCGGTGCGGGGGAAGCTTGGCTCCTCCAACACTTGTACAACCAGTAGACCATCATACGACTGGAGGTGGAGCGGGCGCTCCTTGTAGAGACGACTGTGTACCACCGCCTGCAGGAGCGTCATACAGATCGAGTGTGCCCACCGGGCTCCAGGCGACCCATTGGGATAGAGGAGCGCGGCCTGCGTGTGATTTAATTTGTAGTCCAAAGGGGGCGGTGCCGCACTACCGGGACGGCGTGCAGGCCACGACGCGCAGCTAAACCACATCATATCTACAAGACAGAGGAGCTGTCGCACTGCGGCCACCAATGTCAGCCATGATGGCTTGGCGGCTCTCTCCGCTCGGAATCCAAGTGCGCTATCAAGAACGCTGCGGCCCATTTCGAGGCTGTCGATGTGCCATGGGCATTTTTCAGCCAACAGCGGAGCAGCGGTCGGAGCACCTGGTGCCTTTGAGGATATCGCATTGGGCGGCGCAGCAAGAGTGGGAAGGCATGCGTCTGAGCAACCGCCCAAACAAGGGCGTTCTCAGAAGGTCTCCACCCTTCCCGAGCGTGCCGCCACGGCAGGTGTATGTTCCTCTGGGGTTGCCTACGTGTGTGTTTCTTCATTTTTTTTCATTCCCCTAAAGCGATGTCGTGTGGCTTCTCCTTCCTTCGTGTTTGGAAAACGTGTTTTTGATATTTTTTCGATGACACACTTTGATTTCTTTCGTTCGCTTTCAGCCCCTAAAAGCGATTTCGTGCTTCTTCTTCTTTTGTGTGTGTGTGTTTGTGTGTGAGAAGTAATTCATATTTGTGGCGCTCTTTGTTGTGTTGTTTGATATGCCATGTGTGCGTGCTGCGTGCTTCTATCTTTGCAGAGGTCAGAAAAAAGACATTAGAGGCCCAGAAAAAGATCCATCGGGGTCCGAAAAAAGACAGGGGTCAATTACGAGATATTTCGAGGCCGAGAAAAAGACGGCTTAAATCGTAGAGTGGAGGTCGAAAAAAAGATCGTAATCTTTTTCTAGACCTCGTCGCGGGGCTGAAAAAAAGATGGAGGTCGGAAAAAAGACATGCCGGGGTCGAAACCAAGATGGACCAAGCGCGGGGTCTGAAAAAAGATATTTCTGGGTCGACAAAAAGAGCAGCCCGCTTTTAAGATTTTTTGAAGCCACGTTGGGTGAGCATTTTACCAATCTGTATGGAAGTCCGAACATGTGTTCTTTCTGCAGCGTTGAGTGAAAACAAACGACATTGATACACATGTTGTGTGTTTTTTTGTTGGTATGAAGTTGGATCAATTGCGTTCATGTAACAGTGTTGCCATCCAGTTCAGCTTTTTGGCGCGTTTCCTGTTTTTGAAGGAAAATTTCAATGTTTCCAGTATTCCCAGCATTTAACTGGAAGTGTAACATCATGCTTTGCGAGTGTTTGTTGCCTTTTCCACTCTGGCAGGCAACGGAAAGCTTCAGTTTCAAAACTTTGAAGTTTGATGCAACAATGCATGTGTCTAATACAGCATGCTTTTTGACCGCCATGGCCACGTGCGCGATTCTTGCACGACGCAGTTTCCGAGTTGTTGTCCAGGAGCGGAACTCTGTACAAATGGCACGGCTGAAGGTTTGGAGATTGTCCCCAACGATTTCAGGGTTAAGTTCACTTGACGGAGATCGGATTGGAGAAGACGTCAGGTAATCATCGTTCAGCACTTTTGAACCGTTGTGGTTGGACAACAGGAAGCAACCCGACGGTGTTCTCATTCTTGCGCTGTGCCAGGGCAGGCCTGGCATTGTGATCAGACAACATGGAATGCGTGCATGGAACGAAGTTCGACATGATGCAGCCCGCAAAACATCGTTTTGCATCAAGACTTCGCAAGGGTTTTTCAATTTCGAATTTGTTAAATTCGCGATGCTCCATGGTGGTATGTGGTGCCAGGTCGCTGCCGCTGCGGCTGAAGTGCAAAGCTTGCGTGGACGTTCGGTGGCCCGGACTGCTTTTGTTGGAAGCAATGCGACAGTCAGCATCGGCGAGGGTTGGATGATCGCATTGTGGGGCACAGTGACGCGAAAGAAGCCCTGGTTGTGGCCTAAGGATGCTTGATGGATTGGGTTTTTGAGCCCACAGCTTGTTGAACAGGTTCTTTTGTAACTATGCAGCACAGGTGCTTGCGCTCCTGGTTGCGGCCTCAGTGAGCCTGCGCGAGATCATATGACTTTGTTGTTGGAAAAACATCAAGTCGGTAGGTTGTCTTACGGATTTTTTGCTTGTGTGCTTTGGAGATTTTTGTTCGCGTCGATGCATACGTTGGCTTGTGACCGCCCAAGGCTTGTTGCTCCGCAGGAGTCAACAGCAGTTGTTTGTGTTTTAATGGTCAATGTCCTTGATGCGACATGCTGATGCACCATGTCAGTCTTGAAAAAGGTATTTCGGTAGGTTGTTCAAATTCGACGTAAAATATCGTGACGAACTTTTCTGGGGCAAATCTGCAGGATTTGCGACGGACGACAACCAACAGGGCGACCTATGCGTGAACATCCAGGTGTGCTTCGTTTGAAAGAGCGATAAAAACAGCACAAATCAGGGGCCCGCATTGTGACCACCGATGAGGCCGTGCCTGTCTCTGCCGTTCTCCAAGTGGGCCAGGGGAACCTTCGTGATCGACGCATCTGGCGAACCGAACGAAACATGTAACGATGATGTCAAATGCAGCAGCACATTCTTGCCGCCAACCCGAGTAGATGTGGAACCTTTTCGTTATTTCAGCCTGATAGGAAAATGCTCGTGCAGGTACAGCGGTCCGAATGGAAAAAGTCCATGTTTGCGCATTGCAGGATGCATCACACCCGCACTGTCTCCCATTGCAAGATTTGGGCAGCTGACATGGCATCCCAAATGGCATGTCGGGTGTGTTCGCGCTGTCCGTCGCGCAACCTGCTGGAACCTGTTCGACCTCTGACACTGGTTAGCGCAAACCCTGTTGCCTCGCCTGTGGGGGAGCCCTTGCAGCCTGTGAGCTCCCTTTGTTATTTTGTTGGCCGGTGCACAGGTGCCGAGCCGCCAGCGGTTCCCACGCTCGCGAGCACTAGCTCGTATGATTTGCGTCCGCCTTCTGCTAATGCAGCTGGCCTGTTGGCGCAAACCACTGGCATTCTGGCATTCTTGGCATATGCACGTCGTCATCAGCTGTTTGTGGTCGGCTGCAGTTACTGCGCTGCTCGCTCGTTGGCCAAGCCTTCGGTTTTGTTCCATTTGGGCGGCTTTTCAAAAAGTGGATTCAGCTGCGTCGCCTGCGCATCACCACGACGAACCGGCAGTTGCGGCACGGCAAGACGGCCAGTACTTCGCGGCACCCCCCCTCGCAGGAGTTCTTTTTCACACCACTTCCCTGGAGCATTTCGTCGACGGGTTGCCTGGCTGGCGGCGCAAGTGACGTGGCTTCGTGAGCGGAGGTCGCAAGATGTTCTGATCATGGGTTTTGCTATCGCCCCCGACCCAAGCCCCGTGCGAAGACAACAAACGGGTGCAGGCAGGAAACAGGCATGGAAACAGGTGATGTGCGTTTTGCTGATCGTGTTGCTGAGCTTGGCCGGCCGGTAGACATCGGGCTGTCGGTCGAGCCTGTCCCAACCAGTATCCGGTGAACGAACATGAATCATACCTGTCATCAGGTACCAAGCTGTGTTGCTTCACATACCATTGGTCAAGCCCCAATGACACGATGCTTCCAGTGTGATGTATCCCGGCGTTACCTGGCTTCCACTAGATGCTCGCAAACCAAACCTCGCAATCAAATTCGATGGCCTTTGGGCAAACACAATCGAACACACACAATGCATGATCCACGCCAGAACCGGGTGGAAAACCCATTTGTTCCACAGATTGCCCTTGGTCTAGAATGGGCTGCAAACGTCCATGTGCCAGTTTGGACAAGACTTTGTAGATCAAACTCAACGAAGCAAGAAGAGCCCTCCAATTTTGCACGTTGGACCTGTCTGCTTTTTTCGCCAACATTGTAAGTACTGCATGCTTTCACGATGGGTCCATGCGTCCATCTTGTAAGAACCGATTGCAACTCCAGCAATGGATTTAACAAGATCACTTGGGGCATAACATAGCATTTTTAAAGCCACGCCTTGCGAATCAGCTGATTTGTTTTCGCGCAAATGGCATAGAGCATATTTCAATTTTGGTATGGCGAAAACCGGCATATGAAAACTGCATTGGGGTAACACGTCGACCGTCGTCCACCTCTGCAGCGAATATACCCGACAGATATTCAGCACATTCATGTGGCGAGTGATCATGGGCATGAGCAGATCGTGCGGGTTTGATCGGATCATGCCACACGGACTCCAATCTGTTCAAGTCCCGAAATTCCCGCACCACACAATCCAACTTTGCATTTCGTTTGAGGCGCATCTCGCGTCGCAACTCTGGACAGCTGGACTTGGACAGTCTGCAGCGCTCCATCTTATCACGGACACCACGGCGAAGATACATCAAATGTTGTAGTGACGGTTTCTGCCACGGCTTGGGGTCGCGAGCACCTGACTTTCTTGCCACATGAGCGCATTCCACGACACGTCATTTGACTTCCGAAAAAAACAACATAATTGGGTCTCTGTGGCCAAGCTGTTCGCCAAAGATCTTTGGTAACGAACAATGTGATCAGGATTCCAATCGTATTGCACAGGATGACGTTTGCCACGCGTCTTCTGAGGCGAGTTCCGTCTGTGAGATTTTGCTACCACTGACCGGTGGTTGGAACCCAAATCTATATCGTCTGATGCTTCAGCGTATCGAACGGGGCTGATGCGAAGAATACAATCGATGGCCCCCTTCAAGATCGACCGCACCAGATGCTCTGCTCGTTTCGCTGAAAAGAACAATGTCCCAGCATTCAATTCGCCAAACAATTCTGTAAGTTTTGAATCGGAATGTAAACGAGCATTCTTTATATATACCACCAATTCATGCAAGCACCTACCATTGCTGGAAGTCTCACGCGAAAACTCCTCCACATCGGCACTCTCAGGAAAACCAGATCTCCAACCGGGGGGTTGGTTGAGAAGCGGACGCAGGAAAAAAAAACAGAAAAGATGAAACATATCAGTCGGCTTATTCCCCTCGAAAACAGGATTTTGACCTGAAGTGAGCGACTTTTGTGAAACCGCGTGACTCGAACGGAGCTGTCCCTAAACAACTGCATGTTTGCTTTTGCCATGCTTTTTACTTGCTGACGATTTCTGCAGCATATCGTTGGCGCGGTCCACAAGCTGTTTCAACTCTGTGCTGTGCTGGAAGTCTGCCCATCGCCCCCAAGTATCTTACCGCTGGCAGTTGCAATTGTAACAACAACCGTGGGACCGACTTTCATCCAAGCATAATCTGCACCAAGCTCGATCACACGCTTGACAAAACCCCATTAGCCGACTTGCTACCGTAGCCCGATGTGTGGGGGGCTGTTCAACGATGTTCAACGTGCTGAGTTTGTCCGTGAGCCAAGTTGTCGCGTCTTGCGTGCCTGAGAAACCACCCAATCCACCCACCACCATGGTGCGTGTGTGATCCGGCTGCGTGCTGGGGTCTTGTAGCTTCAAAGCTGCCAACTGGTTTTGTAACTCCGTGATCTTCCTTTCCCAACATATGTGTTTTTCAGATGTCGTTGATCGCGGAGTTCCCTCGTTCTGAAGCAACCTTTCCAACTTTTCAATCCGCTGACCATGCTGTGACATGGTGTTTTCCATTTCCTGAACCTTCTGGCCCGAAGAAATGAATGTGATGCAACTGTTGTTCCATCGGAGCCAGAGCACGTTGGATTTCGCTACGAGCCACGGCTGCCCCTTGAAAAGATCCGGAAACTTCTTGGAGCTCAAGCTGTTCGTCGCCATCAAGTTCTTGAAGGGGGGAGCGTGAGGCCCTGTTCAAGCTCTTGCCAGGTGGAGTCATTGCCAAATCAGATGGCATCATGCCTTGACAAAGATACCCGTGCCGGCAGCAGGCCAGCATCTATGGCGGGCGCACTTCTAACTTTGAGCTTGGCTTGAGCCTGACTTGAGCCAAAATGGCTACGGATTCTGCGCGGCATCGTGGGGAATTGATGGCAGCACAATCCCTGGAAGACTAGGCCGTGCTTCAGTCTCGCATGGTGGCAACTATAGACTCTATTCATTTTTCCTGGCTCCCGTCGTCGTTGCTTCGGCGGGAGCACGTTGTGGTCATCATCCTTTACGAAATGCTAAAACTGCCGGCATGCTCATTTGCGTTTTTCCGCTGTTCGATCTTCCATGACTCTAGGGCCAAGACTGCAGCTGATTGCAGATCTGCGAAACGCACAAACTTCGATGCTGGATACTTTTTTGTTTGGCGAGCTGCCGCATCGCTGTGGCGGCGACTCGGTGCTTCCACTGTTGCCAATCACGATTGTCGCATTGCGCGAGCTTGCCAGCCCCGAGGGCACTCAGCGGATGCCAACGGAGCTGTGCCGGCCACTGCTACACGCAGCGAAAAGGCGACGTAGAGTTGCTGCGCAATGGTCCCCAGCGCCTCGTTGTAGTGAGCTCGCAGGTAGGGGGCGGCTGCGTGGGGCACGGGAGCTTTGGCTCTCGTCCGCCCTGCGTAATGCCGAGGCTACCGCTCGGGTTCGGCGTTGGTGGTACTCAGTTGTAGGTCGCTGTTCAGCGTGCGGCGGCCGGTCGGGCATGTCCAGCGCGTCTCGCGCCTCGGCAGACGCTTCGGCATTCGAGCTCGTGTTGGACCTCGCTGACGCGGCAGGGCCCAGCACCCGGTTGCTTCGACGGTGAACAGTCCGCGTGTGGGCCGGATTAGGTTAGCTGGTTGGACAAGATTACGGACCATTCGGTTCGGCAAACACAGCTTGGCTTACGTTGCTGGAGCTCGCATCGGCCTTCATCTCGCGGCAGGGAGGACTGCGGGAAGATCGGGAAGCTGGCGCGAGGCTCGCAGGGATGTCAACGAAGCCTTTGTCGGCTGGAGGGCACCAGGAGCCGTGAGAGCGTGTCGGCAAGAAACTCGTGCAGAGCTTCGGCCCATCCCCAGCGACATAGCAGTCGCTTGCGAACGGGAGCTCCAGCAGGGAGGCGGCGAATGTGCGCCGCGCCGCGACCGCAAGCAAGCTGGACCATCGCACTCCCCATTCGCCGCGCGGCATTTGGAGGGCAGTCGGAACTAGCGTGCAGCCGCAGCCTCAAAGCGTCCGCCGGCTTTTGCCTAGCGTCAACCTACGTTTGGTAGCGTCTGCGTCGGGCAGCGCTGTCGACAGCCCGGCCGGGAGACATCTTGGTTTGTTTTTTAGTTTTTTTTTTTTTTTGTTTTGCGCGCCTTTTTACGACAGCGAAGAAAGTTCCGAGTCAGCCTACTGTGTGCGGGGCCGTCTGCACCCCGCGTTGCGCGCTCAGAGTCGACTGGGCGCCGGGGGCTGGTGACCCGCCAGGAGCTCCCCGAGTGGGGGTTCCAGGCCGTCCGTTGGGTCACCAGGCCCCGCGATGGGTAGCTCGAGCAATGAGCACGCATGCGCGCGCAGGGCGGCGAACGATGCTTGTTCGGGGGTTGACTGTTTTAGCTGTGGGTGGATGGGCTGTCAACCGTCGCCCAGAGACAGTGGAAGTTTATCAGGCAGCGGGTCAAAGTTTGAGCTCGCAAGCACCGCGAAGCAGATATATGCTTGCGGATGTGCGTTACCCGCATCAGCCATGTCCTGAAGCTTTACCTGGCTCCACTTCATAGGCCTTTGCGTAGCCCTAGGTTTCCATCTTCAGTAATGCCCACCAACAGCCGCATAAAAAGAAGAAGGAAACAAAATCAGCAGCAAACCAATGCATTGCAAGGCCGAGGTGCTTGATGGCCACGTCGTCGCACCCTTCCTGCCCTCAACGTGACCACAACCGCCCAACACAGCCTTCACTGGATACCTCCGAGGATGGAGGCCATGCATGCCATGCCCACTGCAGCCCTCCCCCCTCCAACAGCCACAGCTCGGGATAGGTGTCGTGACGTTTGCGCTTTCTTGCGAGTTGAAGAGCGAGGCGAGGCTGAAAGTCAGCCCCCGGCGACGGCTCGGAGACTTGTGTCAGCAAGGCACCGGTTGCGGGCGATCTGTGCCCCGGCAGTATGGTAGACCATGGCTTGAACCGGAGGGCACGGGAAACCAAAGCACCAGAATTGGCACATGCTGCTTGATGGTCACCAAGCGGGTCGAACAGCCCATGGCATGCACGGACTCGCGAACAGCAGGAACACTCGGAACTTTGCGGAGGGATGCGGAGGGGATGGCGGCTGCTTCGTGGCCAGCTGAGCGAGCGTCTTAAAGCCAGCAGTTTCTGCCATCGCATCATCCCGTGCTAGGCATGGTAGGATGCGAGACTTGGTGGCCGTTGGGGCCCCGAGCCCGCCACGTCCGTGCGGCTGTTTGCACGAGCACAAGCCCTCGCTAGACCAGCAGAAAACGAAAGGCTGTTCCCATCTGCCAGCCGAGACAGACAACACGCTCACCGAAGAAGGAGGGTTAAAAAACTTTTCAGCAGCAGCCACCATCGGTTTTCCTGGATTCGACAGCCTCGTGGAGCGCAGCGCGCGGCGTCCAATTGCAGGTCTCGCATGTCGCCGGCCCGCATGACTCGCGGCCATCACTCACAAGCATCAGGAGAAGGTCATGGAAGGTGCGCATACCGTGGAGGAGTGCGTTTCCCAGGCCGGGCAGGCGCAATATTCGCATCGGTGACATGAACATTTATATGCTTGTTCGCGACGCTTTGCGGTTAGCACGGGGCTGCACGGTTGCGTCAGCCCCGGCACTGGCTCGGGCGAGCCGTAGCAGGGGGCTGACTTTCGGCTTGGCTTCGCCTTTCAACTCGCACTCGCAGCGCTTTCACCGTGTGGTTTTCGGTGCCGAGACGCAGGAGCACCGAACCCGCCTCCTCAGCGCGGCTACGTGCGGCTCCTTGCCCGAGCGCTGAAACCGCTAGCTCTTGCTGTGTCAGTTAGAAAACGACGCGCTTGTTCCCACAGCTGCATCTGCCTGCCAGACGAGACAGACAACACACCCACCGAAGGAGGGTTAAACAAGCTCTTCACCAGCAGTTGGCCACTATCGGTTTTCCTGGATTTGACAGCCTCGTGGAGCGCAGCGCGCGGCGTGCCAGTGCAGCTCTCGTATGTTCCAGGCCCGTATAACTAATGAGCTTTTAGCTACAGGCCTTTTCGAAGCCTTCGCTCACAGACTTCACAAAAAGGTCATGGAGGATGCGCATACCACGCATACCTCGCAGCCGCCTCGAATTTAGGCGGTCAGAACCGCCCAAACTTGTTTCCATTCCTGGCAAAGGGGGGCGACTTCAGCTTGGCGATGCCACACACAAGCCGCCTTTGCAGGATTCTTCACGGAAGTCTACAAAGCTTGCGGGAGTGTGTTTCTCAGGGCCACGCCGAGGCGCAATGTTCGCATCGCTGACATGAACATTGACGTGCTTGTCCGCAGCGCGATGTAGATCGTGTTGCCATTCCCATTTTGGCACGGCCGCGCGGGGCCCAGCTTGCAGTCGATACCACCTGCGCCAGCCCCGCCACTCGCTCGGGCGAGCCGTGGCAGGAGGCTAACTTTCGGCCTGGCGTCGACCTGTATACCCCGAGCTGTCGCGCTCGCCGCGCTGCCACCTTGTGGTTTTCGCTGTCCGGCCCTGAACAGAGACAGCCTTCTTGCGGCTCCTTGCACCTGCGTATGCAAGCCCGCGCCGGCAGTGCTGACGATGCCGTTCGCTCGGCTTTGTGTGCAGCTGCTGGAGCGGCATTATCGCCGTGGCATCGCAGAGGGCCCTCGCCAGCTTATTGCTCGAGCTCCTTCCTTATCGACACAGTCGCTTTTGTTGCAGGCGAGCCGGTTGTGCATGAGATTGCATCAGGTTTTGCAGGACGAGCGATGACTCGACGCCTCAGCTGCCAGCCGCCTCCAGCGCGGACTTGGTTCACACACGCGCGACGTAGCTTGTGCAAAACAAGGTCGTGTGCAATGGCTTGCCAGTCTAGGAGTCTAGACGGAACCCAACTCGCCATCGATGCTGCTCACGGCTCCCCGCTCCGACCCGAAGGCCCCGCAGCCGATGTGCAGCCCGGGTTGCTCCAGCCCGAGCGGCGCAGCGCAAACGACGGCATGCCAGCGCATCCAGCATCAGCATGTCCGTGTAGTTAAAATACAAACCCATGATCGCTGCGGTATGCGATGCAAATGAAAGATAGCATGTTTGATCGATCAGATTTTTTCAGCATTTCTGATTCACACCTTGTTATTGAATGTTAAGGCCCGCGAACATGTGCTGATGGTGGGACCGTATGGTGCCCAGTGTCTGCTTGAGGGAGCATGTTGGCCAGTTGCGATGTTGTGTTTCCTTTTGCCTTGTCAGGCCTGGGGTTGCCAAATCGCTGTTGGCCGAAGAAGTAGCGGCGGCAACGGGAGCCACGATCCGAGATTCCAATTGCGTGGACATTAGTTCCTCGTGGTTAAGCAACAACACGATGTCATGTTTCATGTTGGCAACATTTGTGCTGAGGACAGACCTTTCGTGTTGCAGCTGCATCGAGACACGCGAGTTGCATTCTCAGTTCGGGGGTTTGGGACGTTGGGTTCGTTTATGTAGTTTCACGAATGCTCACCCGTCAATGATAATGTCGTGAGTGAGGGCTCGTAGGGGTTGGTCTTTCTCGGCCCATCGTATTGGGGACGGAAAAATCGCGGGTTGATGCGGAAAACGAGCCAAGCACAGATTGGACAATAAGCTAGCGATTCTTGCCTAAAGGTGATAGGGGTCCGACCACCCACCCACTCATGCACGCACCCACGCACCCACGCACCAACACACCCACGCACACAAGCGCACACGCAGGCACGCACGCACACACCCACACACCCGCGCACCCACACACGCACGCACACAAGCACACGCGCACACGCACACACACACACACACACGCACACGCACGCACACACACACACACACACACACACACACACACACACACACACACACACACACACACACACACACACACACACACACACACACACACACACACACACACACACACACACACACACACACACACACACACACACACCCACGCACACACACACACACACACACACACACACACACACACACACACACACACACACACACACACACACACACACACACACACACACACACACACACACACACACACACACACACACACACACACTGATGGATTCGGCCAAGAGTACGAGTGCAAGAGGAAAAGAGAGAGGCATGTTGTTGCAAAAGTTTGTCAGATTGCGGCAAACGTGCAAAGCTTTGTGCTCAAGCAAAAGGTGGAAACCGTAAATGCTCTAATCTTGCTGCCTCAGGGGGCCAGCGTTTTCTAATCTGGCTGCCTCAGGGGGCCCAGCTTGCAGGTACACAGTTCAGCGTCCTGAACTGCTTCCCACTCCATGGCATAGCTTCGTTGCATTGGGTCTGCCAAGGAGTGCCCAATGCCCCTGCAACAGTTGATTTGGTAAATGTCCAATGTCTGATTATGTTGAAAAGCAAAAATGCAAACAGTGTAGGAGTGACCCTCTGCTCCCATGTACTAGGGAGGTTCACACACACACAGCCCCAAATGGGGCGTACATGCTTCGAGTAGAGTACCATGGAAGGCCGGCCTCGGCAGCCTTTCGCTTTGTCATACGTTTGCTTCTACCAACCGACAAAAGCATGAACACTGAATGCAAAACAACATGTACATGATGTGTGCTCAAAGCGGTGGCATCCTGACGTTCCTATGCGCAGGCTTTTTTGTCGTGCGAGGCGGATCTTGCAGCACTCATCCGTCCTGAAAATTAGGGTCCAACAGCGAGTCTGTTGGGACATTCACTCATGATCTTGAAATGGCAGCGACACCTGAATCCTGCACGTACCAGCATTTTAGCACAAGCCGTTTTTGACCGCTTGTGCTGAATAGTAGGATGCACAATATCATAAGGTGCAATCGAGTCAGAAGACCAAGGATCTCGAGATGGAGATCGATGTTGTTCTTCAGCCAGGTGTGACGTTGCCGTAGGTGATGCTGATGATGTTGAATGCGAAGAGCGTGTCCTCTTTCGTCTTGTGGTATGTGGATGTTGGCGTCGTTGCTGTGTTGTGGATTGGGATGGTGGTGAGTTGTTGCGTGTTTTCTTTGTTTTCATGACTGTTTTGTCCTTTTTATCTTTGTTGTCTTTCTTCTTTTTTGTCCTCGTTGTGTGCTTTGTTTTTTGCTTGTGTGTGTGACTGACTGCATGGGAGGATGTGGTGTTGTCGTCCTTCCTCAAGAAGGCATCAATCTCTTCGGATCCCCATAGGCTGCTGTCGTCATCCTCGTCCATCTGTGTGCGATGCTGTCCTAATGTGTTTCAGCAACTGTAGTTCTGAGAAATGGCTGCGGAGTCATAACTGCATTGAGGCATGTGCATACGCTGATCTTCAGAAGAGAGAGAGAGGTACACAGAGACATCAATTGATTAACCGCGCAGACCTGCATGAACTTTCGACATGATGCTCTTAAGGTTGAACCTCATCAGATATGATGGAGTTCGCAGCACAGCTTTGCTGTGTGATTCTTGGCTGCCGGGGGCAGCAAATGTGCATCTAATTGTCAACTCAGCAATGCTGCTCACGGAGTTCTTGATCGCTTTCGCTTGTTTGATGTAGGAGTTGATGTAGTAGATACTGTCTCCTTTTGGGTAGGAGTCGTTGATGTCGGACGCTGATCAGGTTGCTCCGAATGCTTTCGTATCCACTCTTGAGATGCGATAAAGTACTCTCGCCACCATGAAGAGCCGTTGGTGGCCCAATGCCATCTCCATTGTGATGCCGTCGGAGATCGCGATCTGGTGCGTTGTTCCATGGTGCTAACACAACTGGTTGTTTTTCAAAATGCTGCGGGAAATAGTGCATCAATCGCTGCATAACAAACATATGTGAAGTGAGTGCACTGACTGTAACAATTGGCAAAAACGACTATGATTGTTTTCACCGTCCGCTGCAAAGCGCCCGATGACGGTATGAACATGGTTGATCACCTATTGCTGCGAAGCTTCGAGTCGTTCCACTCGTTGCTTTAGCTCTGTGATCTGCCGGGTTGTTTGAAGAATAAACTCGGCTAATTGGTCGCGTAGCGCCCCGTCACTGAATGTGGAAGGTTCGCTTCCAGTTTCCGACTCATAGTCCCGATGCTGTGTCAAAATCTCCATGATGGCCTCAGAGAGAGCTTCACGTCGTGCCTCATCGATGGGTGGTGAAGCTGTAGTCGCTGTGTTTGTCGGAAAAGATGCTTCGCTCATGGCTCTATGTCGGGATTCCAATAGGTGTCACTCTGAGGCATAAAACTTCAGAAGGCAAAGTTATGGTGCATATCCGCAAGCAACATATGTTCGAATGCAAGAGGTGTGCACTACCTGGCCCTTTTTATACCAGCGGATTCAGCAGCACATTCAGGACCAGTCTGGTGTGTTTTGCCTCATAAGGCTCTCGAGAATATCAAGTTGCTGTTTGCACGATGCCATAATGGCAGTGGTGGCTTCATGTTGAGTAGTCAACACCGTTGTGGCCTGCTGTATCAAGCGTTCCAGCTTGGCATTCGATTCAAGCAACGAATTGTGAAACTGTGTTAGTAACTCAATAATCTCAGCCGATGAATCCGGACCAGAATGAGGCGGAGGTGGAAATGGCGGAGTCGCCGGTGCAGCCACTGCTGCGTCCTGCTGTTCTTGCGGATCTTGGTGTTGCTCTTGGTAATCTTGGAAATCTTCGTCTTCTGCAACACGTAGAAACTGAGAGCGTAAAAGCGCCGGCTGTTGAGTGTGGCTGCCAACAGCAGGCTGCTCGTTGCGGCGTCTGCTGTGCTTGGAGATGGATGGCCGAGGGCGGCCGCTCAGCGCTTTGTGGCTCGGCTGCAATCTGCCAGTCATGGCACTTTTATACATGATGATGCCTCAGTTAGTCCCTGTAAATGGCTGCGGGAAACACTGTGTTGGTACAAGGCGTCTCACATGTTGCAAAGTTGCATGGCTCTGGACGCACGCACTGCAACTTGGCACAGTGTTTTTGCTTACAGCTGTTGATCAGTGTAGCCGGCGGCGATGTACAGATCGCGCATGGCTCGAATGGCTGATGTGGCCTCGCTGCATGGTGTTGTCACTCTGCGTACCATGCGTGTGCGGGCCTGAAAACTGCTGCGAAGTGTTGCAACAGAGGTCGCCGACTGTGGGTGTAAGATATCCGCCTTGTGTAAAGTGCAGTGATGCGTAAGGCTGCTGTGCTGAGGGTTTATGGCGAAACCCAGGAAAATGTTGGCCGGTTCAGTTTCAAGCTGAACCGGTGGTTTGTAGAAAGATGCGTCAGTAAGCTGTGCAAAAGGAGGCAGTCGGGTCAGCTGTGCAGGCAAAAGAAGGACGCGGTTGTCGACGTATCTGGTAGCAAAAAAGTAAGCTTGATCCTGCTTGTTGTGGTCTGGAAAATGCTTGTGGTTCGTGAAAAGTTGTTTGTATGTGTGGTGCCAACACTGCTCTTCTACAGCAACCACGATGTTGCATAAAGCTGGGCTGCAGGGCGAGTCCATAGGTGCTCCACGAAATTGCTCAATGAGTGATGTACCGACAGTGAAATAGTTGAGCCTGAGCACTGCAATGATGAGTTGTGGTATGTGTTGTAATTGTATGCAAAGTTTGTTGCCGGAGGAGGCTTCCTGCTGCTTTTGTCTGCTTTTACCTCTGTGGACTCGATGTGTGGGGTCTTTCTGTGAGTGGTCAATGAAGAATTTGGAGGAGTGTAGTGGGTTCTTCTCTCTGTACCATCGAACCATGATGCTGTATGCTGAAAGAAACCGGCTTTGATCGACCGATGTAAAGAAGCCAGCTAAATCCTGATTGTACAGGATGTAATCTGTTGAATCGTGCAGTTTCCTGCGCTGATGCAAAAAGACCGCTGTTTGTTTGAGCTGTGTTATCCCGTCTCCTTGGTGAAAGGAGTTTGGGCATGCTTGAAGGGTCATCAGCTGCAGTACGTCTGCTAAGGCTTCCCATAATTTCCTGCCCATGGTGTCGATGAACGCCACTATAGGACGTCCTTTCGTGAATTGCTTCTTTCTTTTCGGTAAAATGTAGGCACGTGGGATGCGTCCCCACTGTGGAAACGCCCATGTGTAAGCTGGTAGAAGACTGCGGATGTCTGTGTAGACATCGAAGTGGTGTTGTAGAGGTTGGCGCTGCGACAGCCGAAAAATCTCTTTGTCTAAAAAAGTGTTGTGTATGGCAGTGTGGTATAGTGCTGGGCAGTACCACGTGAGTCGGTTCGGGAAGTGATCTTCGCAATGGATGATGCCCGTTGGTATTTTGTGTTGGACTTGCTTGATCCTCTTGACCTGTAGTATGTTGTTTTGAATGCAGTGTGTATTGTGTTGTGGTATTTGTTCAGATACAAACTGCTTTGCAGTTTGATGGTTGTAGGGTAGTCCATAGTGTCGGTGCCATGTGCGTATGGCTCGGCATAATTGTGACGCCAACTGTGTGGGCTTCTGAAGGCAATTGCTTTTGCCGGAGTATGCCAAAAACTGGTGTTGTGGTTGTAGTTCTGCAAGTTGGATAGCAATGTGATTGTGGAAAATGTGTTCCTGGGGTACTTGTGACTGTAATGGTGAGCATGTACAGGGTGGTGGTGTATCAGGTTGCCATGTGGTGTGGGCATCGCGCCAATTGTGTAGGAGTTGTTGCATAGGTGGGTGCTTCTTGTACACCGGTTTCGTGCTGGGTAGGTGGAATGGTGGAATGTGTTGTTTGTTGCTAGTTAAACAAGAGCGCAAATATTGTCGTAGGTGTTGGGTGAAGGTGGGGTGTAAGAGTGGCTGTAGGTAAATGGGTTTTGTGACAGGAGGTGGTTTTAGTCGTCGCTTCTTAAAAACGGTGTTGAGAGCTTTGTGAGCGTGTCTGCGGTCGCGTCGTGGTAAGTTGTTTGAAAGTTTGTGTAAAGCGTAAACGGTGGCTGCTGGTGTGTCGGAGCAAAGCAGTTGTTTTGTTGTGTCGAATCTGGTGCGAGTGTTGGAAGTAAGATGTGAGACTGTGGTCCATGCCTGTTTCCTGGTTTTGAATAAGGGGGAATTGCTGAAGCTTCGAATGGAGTGGTGTAGTTTGCCTCGGCGCTGCTTCGCCCATAAGGTGGCTGTGCCGTTGTGCTTGTTGTTGGCTGCTTTGGTGAAGCCGGAGAAAGCTGCTTTCATGTGTGATGTAATGTAGGGAAAGTTGAGCTTGGATTGGTGGTGCTGTATAAGAGTGTTCTCCGTGGCTTCCAGTTGCTCTGTGGGTATGTTGGCTTGTAGTAAAATTGGTGTATATTGGTGGTAGCATTTGTGTTTAAGCCACCATCGTAAGGCAAGTTCGGCTTGTACAATCTTGTGTTGTTGAAGTTGCTTGAATTTTCGATTGCGTGTGCCCTCTCGTTGTGTGAGAGAGTGACTGGTGCTGCCGATGTAGACGTA